TTTTTATTACTAATGAGCTTAATTATGTGTTTGAAAAAAAAAAAAAGTATTTTACTAGCACACATTACTCCGGAGAAGTTTTAGCAATCAAATTTAAAACTGAAGAATACTGGAAAAAAGTTATCGGACCGGTTTATATCTACCTCAATTCGAATGATTCCGCAAACGCCGATCCTTCCATACTTTGGATTGACGCTAAACAAAGGGTACGGACAATGTTTATTTAATTTAATTATATTTATAAAATTCAAAATTAATTAATCACAATGTTAATATATATTTTGAATGATTAATTATCAGATGCAAAAGGAGGAAGCTAGTTGGCCATATGAATTCCCACTTTCGGAAGACTTCGTTAAATCGAATCAAAGGGGAGCTTTAAGCGGTCAATTACTTGTTCGCGACTGGTAATAAATTAATAAATCATTTGAATAATATATAATCGAGACGTAAAATCAAATTTAGAGGATTTGTCGATCAATATTGAAAACTTGTATACATAATATAATATAATTATGTATAGGTTCGTTAACAAGCAAGCCGTGCCCGGTGCATCGGCCTATGTGGGATTGGCACCACCCGGAGAAGTTGGCTCATGGCAATATGAAAACAAGGTCGATTTATTTATTTATTTTTTATTATTATTTCGTAGAATAAATTTCCAAGACAAATTCTTGAAAATAACCAAAAAATAATAAGATATTTCTTAACTTAATTTTTTTTTTTAATTTCAGGGTTATCAATTTTGGAATAAAACAGACGAAAACGGGAATTTTTCGATTAAGAATGTGATACCCGGAAATTACAGCTTGTTTGCATGGGTGCCTGGATTTATTGGAGACTACAAACATGTTTCAGACATAACTATCACACCAGGATCAAATATTCAGGCAACTAACATTGTTTTTGATGCTCCGAGAAACGGTCCAACTTTGTGGGAGATCGGAATTCCCGATCGATCAGCCGCTGAGTTTTTCATTCCAAATCCAGATCCAACTATAAAAGTCCATCAATACGCAAAACCCGTTGAAAAGTTCGTTCTTCAAACCCTAATTAATGAACCCTAATATAGAATTGTTATTTTTCAAGTAATATATTTATTTTGTCAATGCTAAAAATTATATTAAAATTCCGGCTCCGCCACTTATCTGCTGATTTAAGTTCTTGATTAATTAATTTGTTCGATCTATTTATTAACAGGTTCAGACAATATGGACTTTGGGCGGGTTACGAAGAAATGTACCCACGAAAGGATCTAGTTTTCACAATTGGATCCAGCAATTATAGTAAGGACTGGTTTTTCTCTCAGGTTACAAGGTTCGTACAACGATTTCATTTTTTATTTCGTCTTATTTTCGTTTTATTTATAGTGATATTATATGTACGAGTATTATTTTGCATTTCAGGAATGTGGGAGGAGAATACGTCGGAACGACATGGCAGATATTATTTGACCTTAAAAACGTCGAAAAAGAGGGGAATTACACTCTCCAACTGGCCCTTGCATCAGCACACTATGCCGAATTACAAGTACGGAAATTCAGTTTTTTTCCTCGTAAAATTCATTACAAAAATTAATACATATTAAATAAAAATATACATATAATTATTTAAAAAAAAAAGAGCATGAAAAGCTAATAATTGCTAAACAATACGAAAATTAAGTGTCAAAGAGCACGTACAAGAGAAAGAGAAATTAAGCATTATTCTAAAATTAGTAAACCGCGCGCATATTTTCTTTTTTTATCGATATTTTGGTACAAACAATAATTACATTGTTATGATATTTTTTAACAATGAAAATCTTGTTTTCGTATGTTTAAAAGGTGCGTTTCAACGACCGAAATTCACCTCCGGAATTCACTACGGGGACCATAGGGATGGACAATGCATTAGCAAGACACGGAATTCGTGGGGTGTACCATTACTACGGTATTCCTATACCAGGAAGTCGTCTTTTTGTCGGACGCAATACGCTATTTTTGACACAAGCTAGAAATTTGACGAAGTTCAGAGAAATCATGTATGATTACATCCGTTTAGAAGGGCCGCCGGCAATCGTACATTAGTATACAGTTCGGTCTCATTTATCGACTCTATTGTAATTCCAGGCTTAATGAGTTCACATCATATGAATTTTCTTAGTTTTTCCTTCGGAATATCTTCAATAGTAAATCTTTCGGGTAAACTAAAATTCCCTTCCTTTAAATTTGTTTTAAACAAGCCTCTCATATTTAAGAAATTATAATTATATGGATGACGACCCCAGGTTCATTCTTAGGAAATTGGGGGCCTTGGGCGAATTTTAGGTGTTTGTAAAAATGGTGACCGTCTTGTATAATGTCCACATTAATTCAATTTTACAAGAATTGGTTGAACCAATTTTTTTGATTGAAAGTTGAGAATTTCTGGGGATAATACGACTAAAATATTGATGAAGTTACCTAACAAAATAAATTAACGGTTTATAGAGTTCTGGCGCGGCGGCCCCATAAACATTTTTTGGAAGTATTCAAACAAGCTCTAAATACTTGCAAATTAATTTAAATAAAGGGCAAATTGCACGACGTCCCCTATAAATTTCATATTTTCGCACTTTACTTCCTCATTTTTTTAAAAAGTGAATGCCCCCTTCAAAATATTATTTTTATTGCACATTGCCTCGATAGCTATGGTGCACGGACACGGATACGTGGACACGGCGATACGCGGATACGGACACGGTGATACGGCATTTCTAAAAAACTAGGATACGGACACGTGGGGGATACGCGTAAATATAAAAAATATAGGGGTATATTTATAAATAATAAAAATATAGGGGTACATTTATAAATTGTAAAAAAAATATATAAGTCGTCATCGCATAAGAGAACCACTCGCCCTTGTTGCTCGTGTTCTTGATCGCCGTTGCATGCTAGACTTTTGGAGTTTTGGGTGGACTCACAAAGAAAACAGAGGAAATGTGTATTGCAGATAAAAGAAAATGCGCATTTTTTTTATTAGGGCTCTCTCTTACAACATAAGAAAAGTGTCCCAACTTTTTTAAAATTGTGGACACTGCCTCGATAGTAAAATTCCGATAGAATATTCATTGGAATTGAGTTTTCTTGTTGTACGTTGCCTCTTCAAATGTTATTTATGTTGCACGTTGCCCCTTCAAAATATTATTTTTCTGCACATTACCCCTTTAAAATGCTACTTTTGTTGCATGATGCCCACCAAAAATTGGATTTTGGGGAAAATTGCAACCAAAACAATATTTCGAAGGGCGGTCGTCCGTTTTTTTGAATTTTTAGGAGGGAAAGTGCGAAAATGGAAAATTAATAAGGAGCGAAGCGCATTTTGTCTTTAAATAAAATATATGATATAATTTTCTTCGAATTACTGAAATTTCTTAAATTTAGAGGTGAACATTGTCTATATCTTAAATAAATGCACAAGATTGTGTTAATTTTTTTTTTCTTAGAATAGATAAAGATTTGACGAAAGAACTCAACATCTAACTAACATGTAATATAAATCGAAAATTTGAACTAAGACATAGTATTTAATAACTTCACATATTTATATCTTGACCTTTTAATAAAAAAACAAAAAAGTAATTTCCTAATTGTCATAGGACTTTATTTTTTTTAACATAAAATAAATAAATAAAATATGTCAACCTATATATTAACATTGACAGTTGTTAATCCCCACGTTACAAACCGGAACAAAAGACTTTGATTAATTTACCCTAATTGCACTGTTAATTAACAACCAACTAAGCAAGTTGTGAACTAGTACATGGGCTACAACTCATGTATTTGATATATATTTATGTATTTATTACATTTATATTTATATTTATATAGTCAAATTTTCTAATGCATGTACTTACATGTTCGAAATAAATAATTTATTATGTTCTTACTTCTTATTATTTAAATACTTGGTCTTTTTTTGAACAAAATTCTTTAGGGTAATGCAAATGTATGTAAGTGGAACTATATATATATGAGTTCATAAGAACTATAGAATTAATTATTCGGGAATTAATCTAATATATGAGAGTCTATTTTTTAATATATATATATATATATATATATATATATATATATATATATATATATATATATATATATATATATATATATATAGAAAATTCTTTCAAGAAAGCAAAAAATAAAATGGGAATATCGATGTTCGTTGGAGTGGTTCTACAGATATTTTTTTTAGCTGCTAATTCTCAGATTTTGCACAGGGAGGTAAATACAGCCATGCATATATATATATATATATATATATA